AAAAGTAATTATATATATTACACTCAAGACATAGAGAAAAAAATATATACAAACTAGTAAGTATATATATATATATAATATATATAATATATATATATAGACCTTTATTTTGAATTGTTAAGCTCAGATGGCATTTATTAGCTACTTAATTCCTTAAATAATACTTTCCAGTATTTGGAAAAAAAAAAAACTGTCTGAAAATATTCTCAGAGAAATACGCAAAATAAATACTGCATAATTATTACCAAAACCTAAGTTATTAATTTTATATAAATTTCTATTCCATTGTGCCTTTTGAATGACTATGATAACTGCTATTGTAGCTGAGCTTTTAATTAATTAACTGTGCAGATTAAAGTAGATTTGTAATAGTACTTGACTGTTTAACTATTTGAACACATGGTATAAATATCCCTGTGACTCGTATTTCAAGGACAAAGATTTTAGATACTTTAAATTTGCATTAGTTTGATGTATCTTGGATATTACACCACAGAGAGCCAACAGCAAAGTTGAGTTCAGTTTTACATTATTTGAAGAATGAGTAATATCCATGTCTGGAAACAAAATTATTAAGACTATTTCATTATATTTTGGTAGAATGAAATAATATAACTTTGAATTTGACTAACCTGAGAAATTGAATATTGTGCAGGCAGAATGTACAAAGCCAATGCCTGAGGTTTAACTCGGAAACATTTAATTTTATGATTTCACCAAAAATGTTTTAACTGTTCAAAGATCCTCATATAAATTTATTGTTTTTTACGTTAATGAGGACACTTGTCTTGCAGTCGGCTCATATATTAACTCTATTGCGATGGGTTGTGTGTCAAAGGCCATGTCATTGTGTTTGTTGACTTGCATTCAAAATTTTATTGAACTACTATTTTATGAATTTATTCAATAAATTTGGTATCAATTGTAGATTATAATTCAAATTTCAGTATTATACATTATTTGATTTCTTAATTTAAAAGTAAATATTAAAAAAAACAGCTAAACATTGATTTTTGTGTGTCAAGTGGTATGTTGAATGCAGCACTGGTTGAAAATTAGATATTTGTGATGTCAAAATACTAAGTCTATAGTTTTATACAAATTAGGAACTCAAATTACAGATATTGACAAGCTAGAATATAAAATAAGAACTTCTTATCTTTTCTATATACTAAGATATCGCTCATGTACTGAATCAAGCATAGTAACCTGCCCCCCCCCCCCCGACCTCCTCTATTCATTTTTGTAAACACTCCCTTATATACACATACTTCTATATACGACCGAATAACCAATTGAAAGCTCAGTATGCCTCCTTAGTGGTTTTCTCAGCCATTTTGATGTGTTATTATGTTAATCCCGTTTTTTTTCACACAAGATTTCAAACGATAAGGTAAATCTTTAGTGAGCTTAAAATTTCATATTTACAGCTTAGTTAAGATGCTTGATAAATTATATTGGAATTATATGGTATTGATATTGTAATTTGTGTATTTTTTTTTTTTATTTAAAATATATATATAAAACCTAAAAAAAAATTTCTTTTCACAATCTCCACGTGAGAAACTTCAATAAGGCTTAGCAACCTACGTCAAGCAACAAACTAGTATAAATGTCGTAACTAGAAGGAATAATATTTTGCTTTACTTCTTTATTTACTGTTCTATGTTTTAAGAAAAATAAGTTTAAGAATTTATTTAAAATAACAATAATCTATATACACATATAAAGTATAATAATTGAAATGTGTCTGTATTTTACAAAATACTAGTCGACTAAAACACAGCCAAGACAGGTCAATTTGTAAAGACGAAAGGTCAGTTTTATATTATGCACCACATCATTGTAACTTCTGTATTGTTAGCCAGCCATGGCTGGAAGGTCAATATCATAAAAATAATAATTATATACAAAAAATGTATAATGTTATGAGATTTAAGCTATTTAGACTAAACATTTATGTTTTCCTGTTATAATTTGTTGTCATTCTAGAATGAAAAATGTGTAATTTATAATTATTTCCTAATATTTTATGGTTATTATGAGGTTGGTCAAATTGACAGACCCCATAGAGTTAGGGTAGAGAAAATAACAGAAAAAAAGATAAAGTTTCACTGAAAACAGACATTTGAAATGTATTTAGGAGGTTTTAGAGATTACACAAATAATATTTGAGATTTCTGGGATGAACAGTAGTTTTTTTAGTTATAGCACAAAAATCACTTTGCACCGGTAAGGAGAATAATGATAGCTGGATAGTAATGGTAACTTACATTTAGCTAATTTATGTTTACCATACTTAAATAAGCAAAGAGGATGTTTGAGAAATTCAATGTAGACAATGCAGACCATCTCTGGTGTGACTATTTTTACATGAAGATTTATATATGTATTTTTGTAACTCATCTTTTGAGTTTTCCATCATCAATTCAGAAAAAAATTAAGATGTAAATTTATGTACAACTATTCATACTTATCCCAAGATAATACTTTTAATTTTACTCTATACATCTTTGTGCATATATTTGTATGAATCTGCCATAATAGGTTATAGGATGCAAATGTGTTAATAATATATAAGCAGCTATTTCTCATGATAATTCTCCATTATACACTTGTGCCCTCATTTCTCATGATTGTACTCATGTGTATATTTGCAGATATAAATTTTATGATTTGTTTATTTGTGATATCTTTGCTGCATAATAAGGGGATCACACTGAGTTTTATTCAGGAAGTGGTGAAAGTTAATATCTATGGTTTTGTATTCACAAAGTATATAAAACTTTGGATTAGTATACAAGTGTGTGTGTGTGTATGCACAGTGATAATAGTTATACCATTTACATAGTGAAATCCAGCCACTGATATTAATATAACAGAACACTTAACCCAGTTTTAGTTTTTCTTCCTCTGATAGTGGTAAAAGTAATTGCCAGTTCTGGAGCCCCTTGTGAAGGTTTGTTGAGCATGCATACTGGCAGATTTCAAATTCGATGACGAGGAACCCACTTTGAGACTAATAATGCTTGGAGACGGCTTGAATGGGTAATGAAGAAAAACTTTAATATAAGTTTAACATAACACCAAATGTACAACGTTTCGACAAGGTTTTATCATCATCAGGTAACGTTGTATGTTATGTTAAACTTATATTAAAGTTTTTCTCCATTACCCATTCAAGTCGTCTTCAAGCATTATACTGACAGAGCTTGACATTGTGCCTCATGAATGATGCTGTAAATGCTCTAAACTTAATGTAGGTTACATGGTTTATGAACACTGAATTGCATTGCTTATTTCAAAATGTATAATTTTACTTTTTCTGTGCATTTTATGATGAAGACTTACTTTGTTATATATATATTTTTTTGCTTTAGGATACTGAGCCACCGAGACTACTTCGTCTTCGGGTTGTAGCTGGGCATGATTTGGCTAAAAAGGATATCTTTGGGGCAAGGTGAAAAAAAAAGCAATATAAGATTCTCTTCAAGTCTAGTACTATTTCATTTTTGTCATGCAAAAAAAATACTAGAATATTAATGGATAAGTTTTTAAAATAAGTCCAAATGAAAGAATTAACATAAAGTTATTGTTATTACTATATACAAGTATGTAATTCATTATATTCATTAGTTTTTTTACCTTGAAGTAACGTGCACACAACATTTCTGCTGTCTAATGACACACACTTCTCCAATCAGGATAGGTCAGCTTCCACAGCTACTTCGACAAACTCTTCCTCCTCACATGATATGTACCGTATTTGATGGACGCATGGGTATATAAGACGCACCCCCCCTTTCAGCAGGTCACATTCAGGAAAAAAAGTTTTTAGTGTATTTAAGCATATATTGGTGAAAGTAATCTAACAGCACATTACACAAGCAGAAAACTCTTGAACATAAACTAAAACACAGTAAGAAAATGGGGATACACTTTAATCATCTTCATAACCAGAAAAATCTTCATCTTTGTCACTACTGCTGGAATCACTGACTTCAAATAACACATTACCCTCCATCCTTTAACAGGATGCTGAAAATTCGACTGCGTCTGGCCTATGCAAATTTCCTATTTCTTATTTCGTAGTTGGAATGCTGTACTGATCGTATGCTAGGATAGTGAGCGTTAGGAAGAAGATTAGCCTGCGGAAGGTCTCAACTTCGCATATTAGATGCAGGGCGATTTTTTTGAACCAAAATTTTGGGAAATAAGTGCGTCCTATATGCCGTCAAATACAGTATATCTTTTTCATATTTACTACTCCACACTTTATACCCTTTTTATTTCTGAAGAAGAATAGTCAACTTCGAAGGTACTCTAGATTTGGGATCTTTTAAAAAAACTGTATTTGAAATACAATATTGAAAAGTTTTCAGAACTAGTTACAGATTTGTTTGTTTTTGGAGAAGGAGTTGTATGAAAATTATTGGATTTGAAGATGACATGTATTAGTACGATTACCGATAAAATATTTTTCAGTAAGTTTGTTAGTTTTTGAGATCTTCACTAGACTTGTTTAATGTTATCACATATATTTGAAATCAATTCATTCACACTTCTTATAGAAAAAATAACATCTTTCAATGAATAAAAAAAAGAAAAACTACTTAAATTAGTTGTGAAGACAAGTGTAGTAGAATGAACAATGTCAAAACAGAGAGAACACAAGGAATAACCCCAAAGAACAATATCAAGAACAAAAATAAAAAGTCAAAAAGAAATTTCTAATTCAAGAGTCAGACTTTTCTCACGTTGTTTTTTCTTTCAGTATTTGAATTTCCTATATATATATATATATATATATAT